TGTCGCTTCCATTGAAAATGTTTAAAAATCCCCGAAATCGGCGTCGCCCGTGACTTTCGGAGACAGGTATTCCTACATTTCGAGCATGTGTGTCTTACGGAGTAGCTAGGGGGTTGATCTGTGGTGTTTTGTTGGACTAGGCGGCAGAGACAGAGGCCAGGCGCCGAAAAAACTGGGCAGTACGACGACAAGCTTTCCCCCGCGAAAAGCTGAATTTGGAACCATGAGTGACCACTACTACAACCCTGAAAGTCCCACTGGGTGAGTATTATATCCTTATCCACACTTCCTCTCTGTTACACCAAGGTACATCTGTTTCTGGAGACTATAAAGAAGACACAGATGTGCTTAGGTTGACAGATATCACAGGAAAGATGGTGGAAAGGTGGAAAATCACACATGTATGCGAGCAAGCCAAGCCACGCTTCCAAAACATGTCAATCAGTTAGGTGGAAAATACCTGGTTAATGTTTGACGGTCTTGGCGAAAACAGTGGCTCTGCTAGCTCGTTTGTAACTAGAAATGTTTCTAACATAGCGTATTCCTTGTTGATGTAGTATTTTTTTTTTATCATTTAGTGGTCTGTTTTCAGGTCTATAGAAACACAAATAATTTATTATGTCTCTCATGGGGGTGTTGGGTACAGGTATGTGGCATTATTATCCTCAGTATCCTCGATACCCAACAACCCCATAAGAGTCCATGGTTGTTACTTACACATATGTTAATGCTTCATTGTATAGAATATTTGTCTACCATTAGAGGTCATACCTGCAAAACAGAATAGAAAGAATTTAGACAGGAGTCCAGATGAAAAAACACAAGTCGATCAACACCAATGTTGCATATTGAGGACAGAAAAATGATACATTCACATGAATCATAATGATACTAGTATTTGTCAATATCATATTATTGAAAGCATTAGGTATATTGCCATAAAGGTCTCCACCAGGAAATATGTTAAAAGTTCTTTGAAATTCCAATGGTATATGACATTTAACACCAAGGTTTAATCATAAGACTCTGACTCCAAGGTTTGGCAGATGAAACAAATATAGAACTACAACCCTCCAGACTGCGACCGTTTTGGTCGCATATGCGACCAATAATTACGAAATGCGACTTAACTTTTTACTCTGGTCGCGCACTGCGCGACCGGTAGAAAATCCGCTGTGCGCCTAAATTATTGGCTGCCATATCTCGCCTCAAAATCCGACCGGTACTTTCTCATTTTACTAATACTTGGACGGTACATTTTTCAAAATAAGGGTATTGTTAACAGCGTTGAAAATACAAGGTTTTACGGGGCAAACATGTTCTTTCCCGCGACTACGTTGTTTGGAAGCAAGGGTGCCCGGGCACAAGCTAGTTTCTTTGAGATGCCGAGTTTTGCCGACACCCAAGTGAAAGCGGTCCCGTCTCATGCCGATTGACAGAACTCCTGACACCAAACATACGGTAGATTTACTAAATCATCGTAGCTGATCCTTTGTAATTGACAGATTACCTCCCTTTTAGATGTAAGTTATATTTAGGAGCACCTGTTATTTCGAAAATGTTAGCTTTAGACGTAGCTAGTAACCGCGGGCGTCAGTAGAAAAATCGTGGAGCTCGGAGGAACATGTGCTGATATATACGTAAATTTTCAAATAGAACAAAGAAATAGACGTCAAAACAAACAACTCAATAGATTACCGGTATTTTATCACTATTTTTCATCCACAGTTACTTGTTTTTGCTCCGCCTGGAACCGCAAAAATCCATCGAAAACTTCACTTGCGATCGTTCGACACAGAGGTAAACAAACCGCCGCCATTTTGTTACAGGTTTTTCGGTGCGGAAGACTGTATTGTTTTTCTTTACCTGCCGATAAATCTCGCGATAACGAGCGAATGAATGACGCACTATTTATATTAAAAAAACGTTTTGTTTTCTTCCGGTATTCTATTCATGGCAGCGGACTTTGGTATTTTTTCTTGGTTACATGAAAAATTACAGAAGTAGTGAGTGGACTTTGACTGGTGATTAAAAAAAAATCTTGATAACATGATTGTTCTTGAAACATATTTATCAACAGTAGCATGACATAGTAATCATTATAATTTATAATGATACATTTACGTGTAATTCTAAAGTTAAAAGAAATTTGACAGTATTGTACTGCTCATGTATAACATACATGTAGTATGCAAATTTGTAATTATTATGATGTATTACAACAAATTGTGCAAAGGTTGGCGATAGAATATATTAGATACTGTGATAATAGAACTTATTTTACGATTTTACTTTGCGCGACCAGATTTTTTGTCTGCGCGACCAGATTTTTGTCTGTGCGCCTAACTTTTTGAGGCTAGGAGCGCATGTGCGCCTAGGCTAAAAATTTAGTCTGGAGGGTTGAACTAAAAGCAGCATACGTCAAAAAAGGTTAGACATCCAGGTAATGAGATACACAACTTCAAGAAATTGTTACTCAAGCAACTGGATAGATTTTGAAAACTGTCAGATGTTTCAAGTAGCCTCCACTTCTTTTCCACTACTTAAAACATGTGACAGTTCTCAAAATTCTCCAGTTGCTTTAGTAACAATTAATTTCCGTGTGTAAAAGCAGCATCGATATCTGTATAAGACTAAACATAGATAAACTCCATCTCAAAGATGGCAGTTTTGGCAACTTGAAGATTTGGAAGACTTACCATTAACAGCAAGGAAACTTTCAACCCTTTTGTGTCTCCCGTATGCATAAGAATTTTGAGTCTCATGTTCGTATTTACACAGCTTTGTATGTTAAAAAGATTGGGAAGAATGCTCACTCACCATTCTTCTTCGTGTATTTTCAGGGATATGGACATCAGTTCAGAGTCTGGCTCTGAGGTAATCATGATTCCTTTTGATACATACAGAAATTACAATATTAAATCTTAAAGCAAGCATATGATAGGTAATCTCTAGCCTAGCATGCAGGTCACCAGTCCAATATTTTATATATTCCACTGAATTGTATTCTTTTCAGTTGAAAAATATTTTGCTTAAAAGTGATTATTTATTCGAAGTTGATTTATTTTCTTGGGATGATATTTGATCATTTTAAACTGATGCCCAACACCAGTGGTTATCTAAGAACTATTTTATCATCAGCCAAAACTACAGTAATCTGTCCAAGACCTCCACAGGTCTGATATATTTACTGTAAATCTGAAAACTTTCACTGTGTTTTTATTTTTGCAGTTTTTGCAGTGACCCTTTTACCACAAATTCTTGCTGCCACAAACGTGCAATCCCAATGTATTACTAATGTACTACAGTATCAAGATATAGGGGAATTCTTTTTTACACAACCAAAGAGTCTCACCTCGCTGACGTTTCCGTGTCTATCAGACACCTTCTTCAGAGCTTCTGACTGGAGTACTGCATCTCGCCGCTATAAGCGCCACCTACATCGGCTACATATAGCGGCGAGATGCAGTACTCCAGT